CCCGTTGTACTGCCTCCGGTGCCAATATTAAAAATAGTCTTTTGCCAATTTTGCCAACCTTTTCCCGTTGTACTGCTTCCGGTGCTGAAAACAGCCCTCCGCCACACCAAAACACCATGGCAGTGAAGGACGGACACGCCACGAAATCGCACCAAAAAACTGTCTAACGTCCCTTCTGAAACCCCATTAAAAATAGTCTTTTGCCAATACTCCGCCACACCAAAACACCATGGCAGTGAAGGACGGACACGCCACGAAATCGCACCAAAAAAGTGTCTAACGTCCCTATTAAAAATAGCCTTTTGCCAATTTTGCGAACATTTTCCCGTTGTACTGCCTCCGGTGCCAATATTAAAAATAGTCTTTTGCCAATTTTGCCAACCTTTTCCCGTTGTACTGCCTCCGGTGCTGAAAACAGCCCTCCGCCACACCAAAACACCATGGCAGTGAAGGACGGACACGCCACGAAATCGCACCAAAAAACTGTCTAACGTCCCTTCCGAAACCCTATTAAAAATAGTCTTTTGCCAATACTCCGCCACACCAAAACACCATGGCAGTGAAGGACGGACACGCCACGAAATCGCACCAAAAAAGTGTCTAACGTCCCTTCTGAAATCCTATTAAAAATAGTCTTTTGGCAATTTTGCCAACCTTTTCCCGGTGCTGAAAACAGCCCTCCGCCACACCAAAACACCATGGCAGTGAAGGACGGACACGCCACGAAATCGCACCAAAAAACTGTCTAACGTCCCTTCTGAAACCCTATTAAAAATATAGTCTTTGCCAATACTCCGCCACACCAAAACACCATGGCAGTGAAGGACGGACACGCCACGAAAGCGCACCAAAAAAGTGTCTAACGTCCGTTCTGAAATCCTATTAAAAAAAGCCTTTTGCCAATTTTGCGAACCTTTTCCCGTTGTATTGCCTCCGGTGCCAATATTAAAAATAGTCTTGCCAATTTTGCCAACCTTTTCCCGTTGTACTGCCTCCGGTGCTGAAAACAGCCCTCCGCCACACCAAAACACCATGGCAGTGAAGGACGGACACGCCACGAAATCGCACCAAAAAACTGTCTAACGTCCCTTCTGAAACCTTATTAAAAATAGTCTTTTGGCCTGCTGGGCCTGTGGCCTGCTGGGGGCCTGCTGCTGCTGGAGCTGGGGCTGGCAGGCCTCCCGATGGGAAAACAACTGCTGAAACCCATAGAAAAAAGAATGAGTTAGCTACTTTTTCCTCCTGCTGCTGCTGCTACTCCTGCTCCTGCACCCCTTCTGTCAAAAGGCAATTCAGAAGAAGAAGAAGTAGTAGTATAGTAGGCCGTAGTAGTCGTAGTAGTAGTGTCGTAGTTGTTTGTTTGTTGTAAAGTTGTAGTTTTGTAGTTTTAAGTTAGTTGTAGTTTTAGTAGTAGTAGTAGCTGGAGCTGGTGCTGCAGGCCTCCCGGATGGGAAAACACGGCTGAAACCCATAGAAAAAGATGAGTTTAGCTACTTTTTCCTCCTGCTGCTGCTGCTGCTCCTGCTCCTGCTACCCCTTCTGTTCAAAAGGCAATTCCAGAAGAAGAAGAAGAAGAAGTAGTAGTAGTAGTAGTAGCCGTAGTAGTAGTAGTAGTAGTAGTAGTAGTAGTTGTTGTTGTTGTTGTTGTTGTTGCAGTTGTAGTTGTAGTTGGTAGTTGTAGTTGTAGTTGTAGTTGTTGTTGTTGTTGTTGTTGTTGTAGTTGTAGTTGTAGTAGTAGTAGTAGTAGTAGTAGTAGTAGTAGTAGTAGTAGTAGTAGTAGTAATAGTAGTAGTAGTAGCTGGCGAAGTGGTAGTAGTCCGAAACAAGGGTCAAAAGTATTATTCCCTGGCGCGCTCCCCCTTGCGTCTGCCGGGGTCGGCGGATTTCTATGGCATCTCTTGGCTGTGAACTCCACCATGCCAGCACGACCAGGACATACCACGTGTGGCTGAAGGCCACGAGTCCCTGCTGAAGCGAGTGCGTGACTTGAAGTTGCGCCTTTGCTGCGAAGCATGCTGCGAAGCACAAAGATGGTTGCGTAACAAAGACATGAAAACCATGATGGAAAACATATGAAAACATGGTAACAATATGTAACAATATGGTATATATGGTAACATGATGGAAAACTTGGTAATATGATGTAACATGATTGAAGAGGAATGGGTTTAACTTTATGGTAAAACCCTTTTTTCATCTTTTTCCCCTGTTGATACCAAACAAAAATGAGAGAAGGCCGCCGAATCCCCTGGATGCGCTGATCGACCAGCTGGGTGGACCCTCATGCGTGGCAGAGATGTCAGGGCGTTCGCAGCGCAGCTTTAAGGACAGCACAGAGGTTTTTGGATGGGGTAGCTGATCAGAAATGATGGAGTTAGAAAATTCATAATTTCATGATATAATATTGAATTAATATTGGGGTGATAACTGAGACGATAATTGCTAGGTTGTTCTGATTGTCAATGATGTGGACCCCTGGGCTGGTGGTTTCAGAATGTTTCAGACAGATGCTGTTTTCAGTCTATACCTCGGACGATGCCCCCCAAAATTGACACAAACACATAATATTCCACTTTTTTCCATGACAATCCACGATTTTCCATGTTTTTCAATACAAGAACCTCATCCCATTTGCCGTTCACCCCATCAACTTTTCAGTAGTTAATATTAATATTAAAATTAATATTAATATAACACTCAGTATGATATAATATTAATGCATATAAAACATATATATATATATAACAACAAGCATGAGATTTGGAAATTCACAATGCTCAGTTTCAACATCTTGCTGCACGGCAGCGTCCCAGGACCCCAGCACCAAGGAGGTGAAACGCCAGCTGCGCAAGGCGCGTGGCACAGGCGCTGCCAGGGGCGCTGCCGGCGCCCTGTCGGTGAACGTGGCGGAGCAACGCGCCTTCCAAAGCGGTGCCAAGCACTTCGCCGTGATCACCGAAGCTGCCTCTGCAGGGATTTCCCTACACAGTGATCGGCGTGAAGTAAAGGGAGGTCACTTGGAATCACTGGATGATTTTGATGATTTTGGCGGAAGTCTTGGAGGATTCTTGATTTGTGTCGTTCTTGCTCTTGGAGCATGGTGATTAAACTGAGCAAAATCCATCCCAAATACTCCTGAGAACTTTCATGTATCAGGACCTATTAGTAAGTTTTGGGGCATATTAGATCATATTAGGACATATTCGGGCCAAGGTTACCAGCGATAGTAACTCTCTTGGCACCCCCAGATATGCCTATCGGGGATGGTCATGATGATTGATAGGGGTTTAGAATGGCCAACATAAGGGTTTCTAAGAATGGCTGGATGACATGACCAATATAATGTGGTAAACCGAACAATAAGCCTAGCATTTGGGGAAGATTTCAATCCCACCAATTTATCGTAATATTGCGGATGGTTTATTGTTATTATGTATACACTATCATCATTGAATTGCATATCATCATTATATATATATTTATATATATATATATTATTGTTATTATTGTTACAAATTCTTGTGACTTTTATTTGCAATTAGTTATTTTTGAGATACTGTTATCATATCACCATCATTATTTTTGAACAGACAATGCTTTTAATTTCATGTTTTCTAATTTTAAAATATATCACACTATTTATTCAATTTATTTATCATACTGTGGTTGTCTTAATTTATCATACTGTGGATGGCAACGCGAAATTCTAAAACCACCAGTTTTGAATAAAATGGTGCTTTATTCACTTTATTCCATTGGGTTTCAACATGTTTCAACCATCCTTTTGGTGGTTGCCAGCGGGCGCACCAGGCGCCTGGTAATTTCGTGATGCTACGCTACTGCACGTTCTCTTCAATTAACACAACTACGTGATGCTACGTTGACTGGGGTGGGTGGGTGGGTGGGTGGGGGGGGATGTTAACGTTCATTGGACTTGCCCGGCATCTGAAAATTAAATGTCACCAAGTGAGTCACCAAAACAAAGAGTTTTGCCGCCTGCTCACTGACATCAACAGTACCAAGTTGTCGAAAATCGCTGGCACGCAGCAAATCGACCGAGAATGGTTGAGTCTGAAGAAATTTGTTTTTCCCAATCTTCACAGAAAAGTGAAGACTTTGGTGGGGTCAGAGGTGAATCCATCTCTGCGACGTCGTTGTTTCCAATATGTGTGGAGATGTAATTGTAATCTCCAAACTTGTACACCACTGGTCATGCTGAAAGAGCTGGCAAAGTTGGTGAAAAACAACGACGCCGACAACTGCTAAAAGAGTTGAAAAGAGATGTTTTGATGCAGAAACGCTATAAAAACGCCAGGCGCCTGACGTGCCCGCGACCTGGTGGTTTCCCAGCGATTCCCAGGAGCGACGCCACGGCGTCGCCACATGATCTGCCTGGAACTGCCTTGGGCGGCCGACAAGGCTGTGCAGCAGCTGGGGCGGGTCTGGCACCTCAGATTCAGCCACCGGTGCCGTAGCAGTGCCCTATGGGAAACCTAATAAACCTATGGAAAATCATAGAAAAAACCATGGAACATCACTATTTTTCCATAGGTAAATCAACTATTTATCAACTATTTATCAACTATTTCACTATGGTCATTTTTGATTTGTCGCAAACTTTTTTGTTTACCAAAGGGTAGTTGAAACCAGCAAAATCATGGGTATATCTTCTGAGAATCATGGCTGGGATCCCTGTGACGGAGGTTTTGAAGGGGAACACCAACTACAAAAGGGATCGATGGCCACCTTTGATTATCGGACAGTAAATCAATGGGAACATCTTCGATGTTTGGACTATCATCTAACATCCTGCAGTTTTTCGTGCTTCACGTTGAAATTGCGAGACGGCTGATCAAAGCTGCGAGATGCACAAGAGTTTTCATATGTCTTCATCACAAGGCGAGAGATTTGAAAAAAAAACTCGGTTCCACCCAAAAATCACACGGTTTCGTCCAGAAGAAATCAGAATAATCCCAACAAAAACAGCAGAAATCAGTGGTGCCTCACAGCAGTGAATAGGATCATGTTCAACATGTTAACTACTTTCAGGTGCATCGTTCCAACCAGCTTCATCCACCAAAGTTCACTTGCATCGTGTCTTGCCGAGATATGAACTTGGGCACTTGGGCGAACTGTGAGCAGTTGCAGTGGGCAGTTTTCAGTTTTCAGTGTGTCCATTCACTATTCCCAAAGATACTCATAGATATTTCTGCATTCCTCAATTCATTCCATTCAGATTTGATACAATGAACCATGATAAATTACCTCCATTCAGATAAAAACTCATCAGTCACTCTCCCAATCACATCAGATATCTTACCATTACATGTGAGTTATATATATATATATAATTTTGATTGCATGATATTGCATATCATGTATCAAATTACACCAGCTCATTGCTTCCCATTCCCATCCCCCTCCCCACCCTATTCCATACATTAGAATCAGATATAATCAGATATAATCAAATATAATCTGATATAATCATATATATATATATTAGATTTCATACTAAGTTGCTCTAAGCTATACCCTCTGGTAATCCAACATAGCTATGGAAAACAACAATTTTTCAAAACGGCGACGGAAACTCATCTATTTCTAAACGGGCCATCCATACCATATCATACCATCTATTCCATAGCAAGCGGTTACTTAAAATTACTTAAGTACACAGTGAAAAAGAAAGACTTGGGGCCATACAATGGCTTCGTTAGATCAAAAAGGGCGATTCTGAATGAAAGTCCAGGTCGGAATCTTCCCATCCCATCCCATCCCAAATTTTCAAATCTGCCAATTTTTCTAATCTTCCAAAGTCATCTTCCAAAGTCATCTTCCAAGTCCTCCAAGTCTTCCAAGTGCTCCAAGTGCCATGCTTAGGTCACCAACCTGGCGGGTGAGGCCCGCTTCGTCTCGGCCGTGGCCAAGCGCTTGGCTCAGCTGGGCGCCATGACGAGAGGGGATCGCCATAGCGGTGCGCCCCCGGGGGAAAAGGGGGGGTACCCCAGCTGGATGGTTTATTTCATGGAAAATCCATGAAAATCCTAAAATGAATAACTGTTAACTATAGCTGGAAGACTGGGGGTAGCCCTATTTTTTCGGAACCAAATAGGATAAGACTTGTTATCGCTTGTTCGATCTTAAGGCTTAATAGCTGGATCGATTCGCGGACGATCCTGCCGGGACTCTGTATGTCTGTCTGTGTCAACTCGCCCTCAGCCTTAGCTGAACCTTCGGCGATGGAAAACAAAAATATCTGTCTCTGTGTGTGCGCATCTTTGTTTTACATGGTGATTGTGACAAGTATGATAATGATGTTTTTCATTGATGGTTTGATGAATTGATGATAATCTGACTTGATGATTCGATGATGTCGGTGTCTATGGTGTGGTTTAGTTTGAAGAGATATGGACGACCTTGGAGGGTGTGATGCTCAGAATCAAACAACTCCGTGGTTTGGTCCTCTGTTTTGATTCAAACATGTTTGGAACTGAACCTAGGGCCACCTAGGGCTCTTGTGACGAAGTAATAATTTATAATAATTTCTCAGCGGCCAAGTTCGCAAACTAGTTCCAAAGAATTCTGCGGATTCCAAGCAGTAGCAGAACATGCATTTCCCGGGCCGGCCATCTCTCCAGGCTTTGGCTCTCGTGGTGATGTCTTCGGCTTTGGGCGGATGGATTTGATGAGTGGCCCCTATGGGCCGGCAGCACTTTCAAAGGTGGGGGATTTCGTTGGATGGGTGAGGCGATCCAGATATCATCATCCAATCATCAGCGGTTCAATGTTCGAAATTCCCTTGTCGCGTTGTCGCGTTGTGTCAATCCTAAACTGTTGGTGAAAAGGCACCTGCATGGTTTTTGAATCAAGCTGCAAGCTAAAACTGGTTTAGAACAGAACTTTTGAGCTTTGATGGGACGTGCCAAGGCCTTGGCTGATTTGGGTCTGGAGGAGAAGGGGAAAGCATCAGTGAACTTAGAGAGGTGGCCTGGGGGTTTCCCGGCTGCAGAAACGCCACAGTTGCCCGCGTTAGCGGCTAACTTACAACAACACCGCCCTAAGGTTGGGAGGAGTTTACAGCTGTAGCGCAGATGGCACTGGAAACCCAACAGGTTTCACCTGGTGAGGGGCCCCAATTGACCTGTCAATGGTTGAGAGTCCGCATGGCCAATGTTTACAGTAGAATTTTGTGACATTTTGTGACATTTTGTGACATTTTGTCACCTTGTCATATCTGAGGCCGTGACCAGGATGGGAAAACCTTGAAGAGATTCCTGAACCGAGTTTTAGGCATGAGCTGCCGCCTTCAGGACTGACCTCTTGTGTTGGCAGAGTTTCAAGACACATCCATAGCACTACCCATCGAAAATTACCAGCTGAGAGAGACATACCCATACATCCACCATCCAACATATCCAAAAACCACCAGTCACCAGCGAAACAAAGTAAACCGGATAAGATCAATAGTAGATCAATACTAGATCAATCAGTAGATCAACGATAGGAATAATATAAGAGTCATATAAAAAAGAACATATTGATTAGAAGATTTGAATAGATTTGATTAATAATTACAAGACAATTTCCATCTCCAGCAGCTGGCGCCAGGAGACCCTCTTTGAGCTGCTGGCCACACACGTGGCATCCATGGAGGCAGCAGATCGTCGCGATGGCTTGCTGAATCAGGGGGTGCTGTGCCTCATCCGGAAGTCATGAACTCGTAGGATGCCACTAGAAATGCCACGAATGTAACCAACAAAAGCATAGAAGATCACACACACATACTTAATTAAGGTATGTTAAAGTATGTAACAATGATAGAACGGTATATATACGGTATATGCTGTAAATTCACATTCTAAAATGCATTTCTGTACCTACTGCAAGAGCAATAACTTGCTTCACAAGGAGGAAAAAGAGGAAGGACTGAGTGACTGAGCTATAAGAACTAAGGATTTTATACGTCATTGGTTCATATTAGTAAATATCAGTAACTTTTTCTGCGGAACATTTCCCATTTGAGGTCTCTGAACCGCGGAATGCGGTGGGGTCGGCTGCAGCAAGTCACTGAGCTGATGGCTGAGAACCTCCCAGGTGCGGGTGATTACCATCCCCAACTGGAAGCTTTGTGGCCGGTTTATCGTCAATTTTCCATTCAATTTGGGGCACACCTCATTTCATGTATTTCAATATATTTCATACAAACCTACATGGTTATATATATATATTAGCTTATTTTAATCTAGAATAATTAATGTACAATGATGTATATATGTATACATAACCTAGGGATTTCGTTTCCTGTAATCCTGTCCCCTGGCACGGATCTTTCAGGTGCCCTGGTCCTGCGCCGTTTGTGCTTGATGCGGGGCATGGATTTCGAGGAGGCTTCAGCGCTGTTAGAACGGGCACCGGAGGATCAGGAGCCGGGGCTGCTTCATTTCGTTGGGGAAATGGGTGGAAAATGGCAAGTTATGGGGAAACAATAGGGGAAACAATAACTATATAGTACTATAGTACTATATGTTATCCCAAAACTATGGGGAAACTGAATGAAACTGATGGAACACGGCTATTTGACATCGTTTTTCTTTACCAGCTCCAGCCACTGTAGCAAACAAGTCAAAGTGATAATTAGAGGTGTGCATCGCAGAGGTTGTAACTATCATGTATCTATTCTCCATTATTCTCCCATGGAATAGCCCGTAACACTTGCCCAGTTGCCCAGTCCAGGAGGCTATGCAGGGCTTCTACATGCGCTCCAAACACGAAGAAGTTCTCTTGGTTCTGCGGCGGCGCACACGTGATGGCCAGGTGGCTTACCAGTTGCCCAGCCAGCACACGGAGCAGTGGAAGTCGCACTGACAATTACCTGATGGAAGTCCTGACGGATAGTCTGTTCAATTAGGAAACTTGGAAGAGGCCACTATGACCAATTCAGGACCAATCCTTTCAAAGCATCTCTGAAAAACCTGAGGCTGGTGCTGCCACATGACAGTCCCAAAACGCAGCTGGATGGCAACTCGTGCACTTTGGCCAAGATGAAACAAAACTCCATGCGGCGCATCACCCCAGATGCAGCCAAAGAGCACTGGACGCAACAGCATCGGCTGTCGGAAACGCAGTGCCTCCACGTGCAACGGGGCCAGAACTGCGGAAACCGCAACTGGGTTGAAATAAATATATAGATAAATATATGTTTATGATTCTTATATGATGTAATATCATGAAGTATCAAGGGTTCAACTTCGGGTCAGCTTCCAGTTTCGCTTCAACATGGATTCAATATGAAGCCGCGCTACACTTTGAAAATGGCAGGCAACTGCCGCTCGGGAAAACGATTCTTGGAGGAGCCCAGCCGACCATCGAAGCGGGCCAGTTCTTGCTGATATCAATGGATATATAGCAGATACATTCCACATATCCCACACCCATATAACTATGTGGCATATATGTGGCATATAATTTTGTGGCATATATGTGGCATTCCACACCCAGATATATTTCATATATCATCCCATTCCACACCATAAACAGGTTTGTGGCCCATCTCCAGATATTTTCCACCACTCCACGACGAGGAGACCATGTTGACAGGGCAAGTCTTGGTACATTGGGATTTTCTGTGTGCCCTGCTGGGCGAGAAGAACTCGCTGGTGCGTTGCGAGCTGAACACGGGGGCAGTGCTGGTGGGCTTGGTGATTCCACAGGATATGGTGGTTCCTTGGCTCCTGGCTTTTCTGCTGAGACCTTAGTTTTTTTTTGGGTGAAGAATCCCTGGTTGATCTGGTGGAGACTTGAGATGTTGTTGGGCCTGGGGCCTGGTGAGGAATTAAAGCTTGATAGGAAATCCAATGATAGAACAATTGTTGGGGCCAATCTGCGATAGATAAGGTTTTTGACTGATGTTGAAAATCTTGCGAAATCCAAACCCTGTCCAAACCGAACCTGCATAAACCTACCAAACAAGAACACTCCTATATCATATTTTGCAGTTGATTTTGTCTATGTCGGGTCCTCAGATCCTATAAACATGACATGTTAGTTTTATCCATGTCGGACGTTCCACTTTTGAAGGAATGAAATGGGATTGGACATGAGTTCTTACATTTATAACTATTTATAACTGATAACAGAATATGTGGTCTAAAAAGGATCGGCTCCTTGATTTTTAAAAGGATATCCGGTGACTTCCCTGCAAAAACTCGATGAATTACCAAAAAAATCACACACACATACCTAGAGGGCCAGTTACCTTTTTTTCCTCCTCTGGGTTGCCCAAAACAAACATAGGCTCTTTTTTGAAAGAACCTAGGTTTTTTATTTTCACCCCAAAATGTTCATGTATCATCATGTATCCAAACATCATGAAACCCATAAAACATCGATTGAAACCCACCAAACTCATTTCCCCACAGCTTAAGCAGCGACCTCAGCCACAATGGGGACTGAAAACCCGTCAGGATAGAAGATGAATCACGTTCACATTCAATAAACCTCCGTATGGAAAGCACGGCAAAGAAGATCCATTGGGGATCTCCAATATGACAATCACCAAAAAAACACGAAATGCTTTCAGGAGAAACATCAGGTTGACACATAGATGAAGAGATGAGCAATTACATTGCATGCGCCAGTTGGTTGCTACCAGTTTGAAATGAAATTCAGCCAACACATGCTCAACCTAAAGCTGCGTAGGTGTTTCAATTTTTATCATCTTCAGTCCAAGAGCTTCATCACAGGATCCTGTCAGATTAAAGCAGGACCTTGAAGGCCAAGTCTGGCGCAAATTAGTTTCTGCAAACTTGTTGGTGTTGCAGCCAGTTGCGATCCCCGAGCATTCATCGACCCAAGAAACCATAATTAATCAAAATCACAACCACGTAAACCATTAAACACGTATCTCAAAATAAGCAAGAATTTATAGATAGTTTTTCCACAAAACTTACCCATTGGTAATTACGGGTAAATTATCGGTATTTTACGGGTCCGTTGCAGGTAGCCAAATTACAGGTTAAAAAACTATGTTTTTCCTAATTGTGACTACGAGCTGATTATGGTCCATTATGAAAAATAGATAGCGGTTTTTCCTTTGATTACGGTCAAATTATGCGTAAAAAACACTTCGACTACGGGCGATTACGGATGAATTATGGGTAAAAAACTGTTAAAACGGTGTAAGTCACGATAAAAATCATCTTGGAAATCCATCAAATCTGTCAGTCCCTTCAGCGTCATCTGGCAAGGGCTACGGGGTAGAGCTATTGAGGATCAATGCCATCAGATATCCTACCCCAAAAAATTTAACCAATTGTTGATTTCAAGGTCATGGTTGAACCATGTTGAACCTCTATTTTAGGTTATATCATGTTATATCATAACACTAGATGTTGCATTCCCATGGTGGTTATCATTGATTCTATCTTAGAATATCTTATACATTATCTTGACATTCCAATGTTGGGATTTATTTCCCGAAAACGACAAGGTCAGGTTTCCATCCTGATTGGTTTGCAGGAACCTGGTGTGTTTTACACTGAACAAATACCCGAAGAAGGATTCATTCAATATGCTTAAAATAGGGGATATGGGAAAAACACACAGTTATTTTTAAAAAACAAAATTAGCTAAAAATAAAGTCAGGTGTTATCCCCAACAGCTTGAAGGATTCCGTGTTTTTGCCATGAAAAGTCCTTATGCCATAAAAATTAAGCGCGTATGCCATAAAAATTAGGTGCTTATGACATTAAAAAACATTGGAACCCTTTGTTTTTTTGGTAGATTGCTTTCATGAAATGTTTTTACTCAACCGAACTTGACTTCGGACTCAACCCCTTTGGGCATAACAACTCGAACCCGAGCCCAAACTCCATCCAAACTCAAACCCGAGCTGGAACTGGAACTGAACTCAACCGGGTGAAACTCCAGAACTTCCCGAACTCGAACTCAACCCACCCGGTGTGGTCCCGAACTTGAATCGAACATGATCGAACAGTATTCGGACAGTAACCCCTCCGGGGTACACACCCGGTGTGCGCCCTTCTCCCATTGTCTCCATGACTTGGCTCCGCGTTGCGTTGCGCATTGCGTTGCCCAGGCCCGTTTGCGTCAAAGCATCCTAGAGCGAGCGGAAGACGATGAACAGCAAAATCCCCGGGAACGAAGACGAAGGCAGCCCGACATGGTCGAACTCTCCGATAGCAACTTGCCAAAAAGATTTGGAATTCTTGGATGATTTGGATGGGGTGCTTTTCAAATGAACATGAGTCAAATGAGTCATGTTGTTTTTGGTACATCATGGTACCTTCCAAATGCACATTGCTCAAGGTGAAGCTTCCCAGGCCTCACTTTCTTCGAGTTCGGATGTGCAACCCATCGTGAGGCGATTTCAAGGGGAAACTGGGGCCACTGGAGCCATCTGGAGCCAACACACTGGAGATCACTGGAGCCATTGTTTGAAGATTTTGAAGTGCTGGAACTTTTCACACTGGGTGCCAGGATGTGCCAGGTGCATTTTTTCTACTGTTTGTTGATCCTTGGGTTGCACATCCGAGGCCTAAATCGCCCAAGCAAAGACGAGTAGATTCCAGCCTGGTGTTGTCCAGCAGCGAGTGAAAAGATTGGCTCCGCAACGCATCGCAGAATCGCATATGTGGCTAATTGTGGCTATATATACATCATGAATCATCATGATAGGCTAGGCACGATAAACTGAACAGTTTTGCCAAAAGGACGACGAAACCAAACCAAACGTGTGCAACACCATGTGTTTTCCATAGCAGATATTCAGATGGGCATGGGGAAACCCCCCATTGGGGTTTGGAGGTGACAAGTTAAGTCGGAAAGCAGAGGCATTTGTTGGGAGTAGAAGCGCAGGCACCACCTGACATCGACGCGCTTTCTGTAGCACTTGTCATTCAAGCTTCCTCGCAATTCCGTGAGCGGAAGCGTTTTGGGAACCTAGCAGCCATGGAGGCTGGTAGTCGAAGGTTTGGGTTGGGTTTAGTTGTGCTAAATAATTACCCATGCGGCATTGTGCGGCATCGTGCGGCTGGCTTCTTTGATAATTAGTTGAACTTGATTGAACTTGTAGGTATCAAGGATCCATTCCGTCATATGAATCAAAGAATGAGGCAAGCTAACCCTGTGAAGCGGATCTGCTTTTTGCAATGCGAGATGGCTCCAAGTCAGACACTCCTTAAAGGTTGATAGCGTCAAGTTGTAAGGCCAACAAGGTGACAGGCAGAGGTGCATATTTGATGGGTTTGCTGCGCTTGCGTGCGCCGTCCCTGCTTCTCAAACGCACTCCCCTTGCTGCGCTTAGTCCATCGGTCACGCTGATGCGAGCGCCTGGTTTGAAAGCTGGACGGTATAGTGGCACTATTGAATGCTGGATACAAACCTTCCAAGATGCCTCTGCAAAAAGCTGCTACCTGATTGCCTGGACACTGGATCATTATTGTTCAAAAGTGTTAAGACTCATTCATTATTCTCAGCAGCGATGCAAAGTTTTCCGACATCACCAAACTGGGTTCGAGTTTTTTTGCGCTACCTCGCATCCTTCTCCTTGTCTCCTTTGTTGTCTCCACTTCCTCCATCATCTCTATCATGTTTTATCATGTTTCCCGAATGCGTAGCAAGGGTTCCCGTTTCACTCTGGGGGTCTGGGGGTTGAGTGTGCGTTCGCTCGACGTTGCGTTTGTGGTCGCAACAGTCCGCAACCGTCCGCAACCGTCCGCAACCGTTCGCGCGATCCCCGTATGGCCGTGCCTATGGCAAGTTCAGCAGAAGGGATGCTTGTTGGAGATTTCAAACGTCTCGTTGCTTCGTTTCGCGTGGCAGGCGTGGCACTTCGTGACATTCGGATGTGTTTCGTAACGTGTCGAAAGTCGTTTGTGTGGCAGGCGCAATACTTTTGCGATGTTTTCAGAAGATGGGTTGCAGTTTTCGTTGCAGGCGCAGCACTTTGGACGTGCCCATCGTCATTTTGCGTGGCAGGCGCAGCACTTTAGACGTGTCGTGTTGCGTGTTTTTTGCGAATCGCATTGGCAGTGCTGCGTCAAGTGGCGACAAGGCGCGGATTCCGTGGCAGGCGTGCAGTTTGTGAGATGCGTTGAAAATTGACGGAAGCCTCACACGAAACATCGATTTTGAGGTAGCTAATTTAGAGGTTCCTAAGAAAACTCGTAGGAAAACGTCGATTTTGTGGCTACATGTTTGCAAAGTGTCAAAATTGATCAAAACTGGAGGAAGTCTCGCACGAAATGCTCGTTTTGCTGCTCCCACGTATCTCGTCTCGAGTCTCTGGTTTTCCTGTGGCATCGCTGTGTCTATGGGGGAAGCTGCAAAACCTCTCCTTTTCGAAGGTTTCCGAGCAGGTTGTCATGTCGTTTTGCGTAGCAGGCGTGGCACCTTGTCACATTCCAACCTGTTTGATAACGCGTCGAAAGTGTCAAACTTAGCGGAAGTCTTGCACGAAATGCACGTTTTGCTGCTCCCACGTGTCTCGTCTCGAGTGTCTGGTTTTCCTGTGGCATCGCTGTGTCTATGGGGGAAGCTGCAAAACCTCTCCTTTTCGAAGGTTTCCAAGCAGGTTGTCATGTCGTTTTGCGTGGCAGGCGTGGCACTTTGTCACATTCCAGCCTGCTTGATAACATGACAAAAATGGAGGAAATCTCGCACGAAAAGCTCATTTTTCTGCGCCCACGTGTCTCGTCTCGAGTTTCTGGTTTTCCTGTGGCGTCGCCGTGTCTATCGGGGAAGCTTCACACTCTACACTTTACACTCCACACTCCACAATTTACACTTTAGACTCCTCACTCCACACTTTACACTTTACACTTTACACTCCACACTTTACGCTTTATGCTTTGCACTTTACACTCCTCACTCGACACTTTACACTCCACACTCCACACTTTACACTTTACACTTTCCACTCCACACTCCACACTCCACACTCCACACTCCACACTCCACACCTTACACTCCACACTCCACACTCTACACTTTACACCCCTCTCTCCACACTTTACACTTTACACTTTACACTTTCCACTCCGCACTCCACACTCCACACTCCACACTACACTTTCCACTCCACACTCCGCACTCTACACTTTACACTTTAGACTCCTCACTCCACACTCCACACTTTACACTCCACACTTTACACTCCACGCTCCAGACTCCACACTCCACACTCTACACTTTACACTTTTTACTTTACACTCTACACTCCACACTTTACATTTTACACTCCACACTTTACACTCCTCACTCCACACTCTACACTTTACACTCCACATTCCACACTCTACACTTTACACTCTACACTTTACACTAACTCTACACTCCACATTTCACACTCTACACTTTACGCACTCCACGCTCGTCACTCCACACTTTACACTCCACACTCCTCACTTTACACTCCACACTCCACACTCCACACTACACTTTCCACTCCACACTCCGCACTCCACACTTTACACTCCACACTCCACACTTTACACGCCTCACTCCACACTCCACACTTTACATTCCACACTTCTCGCTTCACACTCCGCACTCCACACTCCACACTCTACACGCTACACTTTACACCCCTCGCTTCCCACACGACACTTCACACTCCACACTCTGCACTTTACACACTCTACACCCCCCACTGCACACTTTACACTCCACACTCCTTACTTTACACTCCACACTCCACACTCTACACTTTACACTCCACACTCCACACTCTACACGTGTGCCATTAACGTGCGTGTGAGCATTCGGGTTCGTGGGCTGCATCTTGTTTCATATTTTTTGAATCTTTCATCTATCAATCCCACCTCTATCAAGCTAAACCTAATTTATATCATACCAATCTCTGTCAAACTTGACTCTGCGTTTATAATTAATTTTGATAGGCTTGGTAATTCCATCCGTGAAATTTCTCCCTACCAAGTCTCTCTCCACCAAATTTTTCTGTTATTTTTATGTATATATAATAATATTTACGTTTTCTTTTCAGTTTTCTTTCTATCAAACTTGTCCCTCTCAAACTTAGCTCTATCAAATCTACCTGTGTGGCAAGCAATGCCTTCCCGATTTTTTGGCGGCTTGTATTGCGCAAGACAGGAAGGCTTCACATGCGGGGTCATCCAATCCTTCAATCTTATTTGCTCGGCATTTTCCGAAGACCTCAAGGGCAGCGTTCACACTTTGTACGCATTTCTTCCACCTATCCAGCATGTGGTTTCCGCGCATATTTTCATATCACATATGGTTTTCAGGTCGCCTGCGTATTCTTCACAGTTTAATACATGTTCTTCGGGGTGTCCATATCTATATAGTAAATGCAATGTAAATGCAAACTATAGCAATCTATAGAAAACATGTTTCAACCTGGCTTCGCCTATGTGACCGTCTTGTATTTCACTTATTTGGCAGTGCTTTAGTATCCTCTCCCTCATCACTTTCATTTTGGACTGAGCCAATCGTCGGTTTCTCATTGCCATCTTTTCTTTTGCTGCTCAAACAAGGGTAATTTGCCTCCACCTCTCCACCAGGCGTGACCGGGCGTGACCTTCGAATGCGGCAACTTCAATGTGGGAGGATGACAGGCGACGCAAGGACAATCATGTTATATAGATGGACGCGAGTTTGGTTTTTCTAGGTTTATCATCCGAACCCTATTGGAATCCTAGTTCTATAGGAGAAGAATGAGAGCATGGAAAAAACCATGGTAATTATGTGCCGACAACACATGATGGATTCATTTTGCCAATTTGCCAAGGCACCTCTTGATACAACCGCATTCCATGCCCTTGGCATCGGAGTAGTGGTACGCAAGCTGCGGCCTCCTTTCTGGATTCTGCCCCGCGAGCCACGACAAGGAAGCAGCTGGTGAATGCTGGTGAATGCTAGTGACCTAGTGTTTGCGTGTCTCGATTACGAAGGCAGTGGACCGCTCCAGCAGATGCCAGCTTGCCTTGAACCATGTGACCTTTCCCCATAGCACCCGCGGTCTTCAGCCGCGATGCTGTAAATTCAAGACCTTTTTCACGGTCCTTTTAAACGTCTGGCACTCACAGGCGGCGTCTGCGGGCCTCTTGGGGCCAGGCATGCTGCCAAGACGTCCTTTGTCGCTTGAGCCTTTCTTCCTGAAATTAGACACTTGATGGTGAAGCATCTCCTTCTCCTTTTGGAGCTTCCAATGGCAGACGAACTTGTCAGTGCTTCAATCAGCACAATGAAGCCTCAGAAGGGAATCAATGAAAAGCATCGGGTGCCTTTTTGACAGTGTCCTTTCACAGGTACCGGTACCGTGGGCTCTAAGTTTTTTCCGGCTTCAGATACGGTTTGCAAAGTTGTGTCCAATTGTGTCTGATATCGGGCAGCTCACCAAAAGCAGACCACACCGAGAATGCAGGGGCTTTGCGACCAGCGTCAGTTTTGTTCGCGCTGTGGATGGGCACTTGATGGCGTGTCATCTCCTTCTTCCTTTAGCGGAGCTTCCAGTGGTAGACGAACTTGCCCGTGCTTCAATCAGCAATGGGTGCCTTCTTGACAGTGGTATTTCAAAGGTACCGTGTGAAAACATGCATCAAACGTCATCAACATAT